AAAAGGCATCTAGAAAGCTGGAAAGAAAATGGCGCTCCACTAATGTTGAAGAATTTTATTTATCTTGGAGAGACAGTCTGCTAACGCATGAAAATGCTCTCTGTAAAGCTAGAACTTTGTTTTTCATCTTTAATTGATGAGAATATAAATGACATCTGTTTCCTTTTCAGTACCATAGCTAGTCTAATGAATAATCCCATCTCTGTTGAGCAATGTATCCATACAACTATAAGCAGTGATGACTTCATGAGATTCTTCATAAATAAAATTATTTCAATTAGGGAGAAATTTCAAACCACCCTTCCTATTATCCCCTCTGGTTTCTTGTCAGATGAGGCAATATTAAAAATGTCACTAGAACCTGATTTATGTTTGGACTGTCTTTGTCCTGTTGAGCTCTCTGAATTGTCAAAATAATAGCTTCCTCCAAACCATCCACATGTCTGCTAGATCCTATCCCAACCAGACTGTTTAAAGAGGTATTTCTCTTAATGTCCACATTTTGGATCTACTTAATTTGTCTCTAAAGAATTGTTACGTACCACAGTGTTTTAAAATAGGTGTAATTAAATCTTTATTTAAGAAACATAACTTTGACTTAGGAATTCCTTGACGTTCACATTACCGAGGATTTGTCATGGACTTTACATACAGACACTGTGGTCAAGAAAGCCAGACAAAGACTCTAATTCCTAAGAAGCCTAAAGAAGTTTGGTACAAACACCAGCATCCTCACCAACTTTTATAGGTGCACCATTGAGAGCCTGCTGACAGGCTGCATCACAGGGTGGTACATGAACTGCACCAGTCGGAGCCGGAAAGCTCTACAGAGGGTGGTGCAAAAAGCAGAGGACATCAATGGTAGCAGTCTCCACACCATCCAGGACATCTACCACAGCCGATGTCTGCGTGAAGCACGCAGCTTCATTAAGAATCACACCCACCCAGCACAAGGACTCTTCCATCTACTACCCTCAGGTAGATGATACAGGAGTCTGTCATCGCGTACAAAAAGACTAAAAGACAGTAATTATCTACAAGCTGTCAGATTACTGAACTCTTGATAAATAACATCGAACAACTGGCAGTAACTAACTAATAATTCAACCTCAATGTCACTACCTGTGCAATAACCTGTCACACAACCTGTGTGGTATATGTTGAT